ATATTATAATGCTTAATTGAATTTATTAACGACACTTCGAATTTATACTAATTATTAGTAATTCAAATTATAGGATGACAGTAATTCCTACTTTTAAATTTCGTTTAATTTTGTTTGTCTTTCTTGAATTATTCAATGATAAAAGAGATCATTTAAATGGAAGAGCTATTGAAAGATGCAACCATTTGTATACAATACATATTTTACACATAAAATTACCCCTTTTTATTTACACAATTTTATTGAAAAAGTTATTTTACGATAATTCAATTTCTATAGTAACTAAAAGAACTCGTGGATGTTTGATAATTTGATAAAAAATTATATGAATTGAATAATTTAAATCAGTCGAAACGATTACTTAATAACTTTTTATAAAAATTACTTAAATTTATTGCAATACAATTCCTTAAGACTCTTTATGATTTTCTATTAAAAGTGTAAGTAGAAATCTTGTTTTCTTTTTACACAAAATACTTGTTCACAATAGTCGATTAACATTAACTGTCGCTAGTTCTAGTATAAAAAAACAATAAATTTTAAATAATTCACAGCAATTCAAGTAATATATTTTATGAAGTCTGGAAACATTTTGAAATAACAAAATAACAAACCCTGCGGATCCTGAGTCCAGTTTCAGAAGACCTCTTTACAAAATTAACGGTGTACAAAACCAGAAATTAATTTTTCCACCAGAACTAACCATCGTTGAAAATATAGTTGTGCCGCAAGTAAAATTCGAACCCTTTCTATTTTCGTCCAAATCGTATATCCGTCCTGCCATTAAGCACAGGAAGGGAAATTAGATAACTGGGATTGATATGTGAAAGATAACTGACGGGTCTAGCCACTCCACGTTATCCGACTTCTATATTTCGTTTCAAGAGCTTTTCGATAAAAACATGAAAATACGGTTTGAAGGGTTGGTCAGCGTTCTTGTAGAATTTCTTGGCTGGTATCTTTAACCTTGTGAAGCTATATACAGAGTGATTCACGCAACTGTAACAAGCCATATCTTTATATTTTTTAGTTCAAGTCAGAGAAAAATATTTGAGGAAAAAGGTGAACGGTTCACAGTGGACTGCATATCTACGATCAGTTTTTTTCGCAAGTGCAATAACGAATACATGCACATTTTGCAGATGCACTATTTTTTTTAAATGAAAATATACATTTTTTTTATTTCATACATTGATCGAATCATTTCCTCATTCTACGATAGATAGTATTAAGGTAGCATGATTGAAGACTGACAAGTTTGAAAGATATTTTAACTTTAACTTTGTAGAATATTACGTGAGAAACAAGGAAAGGTGTAAGATAGCGTGTACTCTTGTATTTATGTTTTCTTATACTAGTGTGGATTGGAAAGTTCATGGCCTAAGTATGAAGGATTGCAGCTAAGTGCTTGCAATTTTCACCGAATAATATGTAATTAATTGTGTACTAATGTATACAGTTTCGTGTCTATGTCGTCATTTTTCTCCCTTTTAGACCTAGTGAGGTAGAGGTATCTGCAGTAGATAGAGTAGAGATGGACAAAATTAGAAAACGAACAGCGATTCAATACCTGAAGATAAAGGACCTCGCTTCAAAGATCGTTCAAGGACCTTGCAAAAATTATTCCAAGTCCTTGCGAAAATCATTCGAGGTCCTTGCGGTGATGTCCTTTGTCACCAGGTACTGGATCATTCCTCGCTTCTATTCGTCTCTTCTCCGTCGCTGTAAACACCCCTACTTTACCAGCTGTAAAAGAGAACAAAAAACTGACAGAGCCACGAAACTTCGTACGTCGGTACGCAAATGATCGCAGATTACACCGTAAAAATTGCAAGCACCTAGCAGCAGTTCTTCGCACTTAGGCTGCGAACTTTTCAAACCACCCTCGTATGATAAGTTTTACAAAATTAACGTTAAAATATTTCAGTTTTCGATTATGTTACCCCAATATTATTTTATGCATAACGACGAAACGATTCGATCTGTGCGATAAAAAATGTATGTTTCCACTAAAAAAATAGCGCAACTACAAAATGCAGATGCATTATTGTACTTGCAAAAAAAAATATGATCGTGAATATTGTAAATCCACTTCGAACCGTTCATCTTTTTTCTAACTTCAACCAAAGAAAAGATATGGCTTGTTACAGTTACGTGAATCATCCTGCACAAATATAGAGATAACTTATTATACAGGGTGGGACAAAAACTTTGTCCACTTGGAATATTTCCGTTACTTGTAATAATATGGAAAAATGTTATATACATATACAACACATGGTATAGAAGGTGACATAGTATGATGTAAATATTTTTTACATAGATGGAGGCGTAGAGGAAATTTCAAGGTGATCTGTATTTTTTTCAATGAGATGCTACTTCAGGTGTTTCAACGATTTCAGCATGACTAACATTAAAGTATTCATTCGAGATCACTAAAAATCGTAAAACAATTATTATTACTTTCGAATTGTGGATACGTCTGTATTATCGCTGGATTTATTCAAGCAAATGCTGTAATTCGTTGACTCCTACTTTTATGTAAACAGATAGTCTTGTCGCAATGTATACGTTCCAATAATACATTATGCAGAGCTAGGAACGTGAACATTGTGGCAATTTACGACATTGCGTGGAATACCGACGGTCGGTATCAAGTGATTTCTGGGTTAAATTTCACGGTGATAATCAAGATGAAGTTTTTTCTTTCGAAGAACAAGTTGATATGATCCTCATTTAAGGGGAAACTTATCCAAACGTACTCAAATACGCTAAAAAATGTTCGCTACCGAGAAATTCCGACAACACCGAAAAATATGAGACAACGGATTACTGCAGCATGTGCTGGAATAAGTTCAGAGGCGAGAAGACGTGCACGTGATTCAGCGATGCAAAAATTGCAACTTTGCATCGACACTAATGGTGAACACTGTTTGATGATGTTAGGTGTTGAAAATTGGCGCTCAAAATATGTTACAACAGCGAAATTACGAATGCAAATATTAAAAAGTTGTTTCTTTTGCACAGAAATCTCATTTGAAAAATGTAAAAATCATGCTTTGCGTTGGTAACCTGGGTCATTGATGACCCAAGCCAAATTTCACTCTTGTATTTCTTCGAAAAGAATTTTTATTTTTATTGAAAACAGTTTGAAGCATTTGACTTAATGAAATATAGTAGAGATTTTGATAAGGTTCTCAGAATTTTTTCAGATTTCTTTATAGCTTAAAACAGTAAAAAAAGTAGACCTAGAGTAGACCTATGGAAGATTAATTACATTGATTTATTACATTCAATTTACATACGGTTATGCAAAGTATGACGCACATTAAGCTTCATTCTTTGGGGTCTTATTTTACTTGTATTTAACGTTCCAGTTTACTATACATATTTATTTCTCATTGCTTTGCATTGAAACTTCATTTAATGTAAACATGTATACTAGTAAACATACGTTGCTAATTGCAAAAATATAAATATAACTAACTATGAAATTGTATTTGGAAGTAATTCACTGAATATTGGCCAATTAAGGCAAAATATCGAGTATTATTGTGACTTGAATTATGATTATAATTTTCTTTTTAACATTCGTCTATTTTTGCCATCATTTGAATTCCTTAAACGAACTAGATTGATAACCGAAGTAACGTGAAAAGGAGAGAGTGATCAAAGAAGTAAGGAGAATAGCAGATAAAAGTAATTTGCGTTCGTACACTGTAAATTGCCAACTTCCATTCTACAACTGGTTTTCTTTCTACCTGGATCGGTATACCGATGGAAATAATCCCTCGGATTCGTATGACTGCAACAGTTGCAATTACGTGATGCAAAATATATCGCCTGTTGGATCGGACGATCGAGATTATTACCTTAATTATTCTTATGAAAGCTTGAATCACAGCAACGTGTGATATTTACCGTGACTTTAATCACTTTCATCTTTTGCCTTTCTCCGATTCTAAAGACTCTTAATTTAATCTTTTCTTATCTACTATATTTAGCTTTTTTTTTTCTTTTAAATTCTTATAAACTTGTGTGTTATAGGTGAAAGCATAATTTAAATAGTTTAGAATCAAACATTTATCTAAGTAATGTACTCGGACTTTCCAAGTTCAGGATTTATGTGCCCGCTATAATTGAATAGGAATTATAAAAAATAATAAGTAATATAGTTATTCTTTAGATATGGTTATACGAGAAAATTTGTACACGTAATTTAAATGGTTTCAAAGGGTGAATAAGATGGAAGAAAATTTTTTTTAAAAATGTTACTTTTTGGTTTTTTTTTCAAGATTATTTGTCTTTTACAAAAATATTATCTGTATTCAAACTTTATATACCATCTGGAGATTTCAAACCTCGCACCCGTTTTTTTTATTGAAACTTCCCGTATACTACATGGCCAATATAGTTGTATCAGCCGCCTTTGTATGATATCTAACACCTTTTGTCAGTCTCTTGACTATTTTCGCAACTTTTTACGCAATTTTAAAGGATTTGTCATCCACGTTTCGAGCCGGTAATGCTAGTTTTATCTTTAGATACCAAAGGGTTATTCTGCCCGTGTATTTAAATAATTAAATAAATATTTATGTTACACTTTACCGACCGGAAGCCTATTTATCGGCTTTTCGCTGCCAACGCTTACCGTTCTTTAATGTTATTAATTTTAATTTCCCTATAATAAGAGAAAGCAAACGATATAGTAGGCACTCTCACGAGTTTTAATTTAAAATTTGTATAGCTGTAAGAATAAGCGCTTATATACCGCACGATGGTAAAGACGGAGCTCGAAAAGAGTTCAACAATGAACGGTCGGTAAAGTGTTAAATTTCTATCGTATTAAAGTTTAAATCTACAAGATTTGCGTACAATTATTGCAATTCACATAGTAAACGAGGAAATCTCAATTCGTTACTTTCGTTCATAGAAAGTACAACGATGAAATAACTCCTTCTTAATTATATTTAATTTTTTCCGTCGTTCTTTTGTTACAGGCTCACGTGGTGTCGGCTTTCGAACAATCTTTGTCCAACATGACACAACGACTACAACAACTCACTGCAACAGCTGAAAAGAAAGTAAGTATTTCGTTACCAACCTAATTTTTCCACCGTCTCCAAAAATACGAAATTACCACGAAAAACAATATCATATCTAATCCTACCGGAATGAATTTGCATCTCGATAAGAAGTTTCACCATGAAGGCTCAAAGTTTAAACATGAAGCCTCGATCGGTACACCGGTAACGTGAAATTTCACAAAAATAAGTGTTTCCATCTGAAATTATCAGAGATGCCGCGATTCGTGTTTACTACAAAAATGAACCGGCATTTCTCCGTCTCTTTCTCCCATTTGTAAAGTTAACCTCGTTGACTGCAACATTTTCGAGACAGAGGTACCTGAAAATTTTTGTTCCTCAACCATGCACACAAATCGAAGCTCCGAGAAGATAATCGATCGTTCGTCGCCCCGAAAACCGCTTCGAAATCGAAGGCTGGATCGACCAGGTGACTTAAAAATCATGAAATTACTGTCTCCCTACTCTACTAGCAAAGTGAAACTACTAAACGGTATGATCATGATCCCAATCGCTCCAGAAGACGCGAGAATTCTTGGTCTTCGTGTGCCGGACACCGATAACTTCTCGATCGGATCGAACGCATCGTCGGTCAAGAAATCTGCTCATCCGTCCAGTTCGAAGTCTCTTGGGAAGAGATCAAACGACGACAGCAGATCGAAGAAGAATATTAAACGTCACCGGAACGTGGACACGAAGGCGTCGAAGAGATTGCCGGATTTAAAGCAGGAGCAAAAGGCGCAGAGAACAGCGGCGTTGGAAAGGCTGAGTAATTTGCACACGAAGTTAGGACAAAGATTGAGAAACATCTCGAACAGGACGAAAACTCGAGAAAAAGTCAGTCCAAGTAGCACGAAAGACTCTAACACTTTGTCGAATTTAAGCCCAACTGTATTGACCGGATTTAGAAGAAATTTGTCAGCCTCCCAGGAAGACAAGCCGGGTAAACTCGGAAAGGAACCTAGCTCGAAGTCTATGAGACAATTGTTCAGCATGGCTGACTCGTGGAGCAACGACTCCGTGATCAGCCATTCGGACAATTGTGCGTGCTGTCACAGCCGGGAACCTTGTCCCTTTCACGGAAGCGATTTGTTCAGTAGAAAATGAAGACGTTTCGTTTGCCCCGTCATTCGAGAAATTTTCGTGTTTTGCTTAGTGTAAATAAATCGATGCACTTTCAACGAAGCGCGCGATGTAATTCGGATAGAATCTTGGAGAAATGGTTGGAAACCGAAGGTAACATAGAACCTCTATAATGATAATACACAATTGCGTTGTTTTTTTTTTTTTAATTGTTTCATTGAAATAGGAAATTGTTGAACATAAATCTCTTTAGAAACTTTAATTTCAGTGTTATTGTCGTAAAGAGAACTGTACGTTTGTATTATGCTTATCATATTATGAACTACAAGATACACTTTACAGTGTAAGTAAACTAGCACTTTTATTTTCTATTGATTAAATATGCTAGTATAACAATTGAAAGTATACGGGGTGAACCATATAACGTGATCGCCTTAAATAGACTGATCTAAATCTTTTTTGGGTCAAAATAGTTATGGTATACTTTTCACCAATTCTTTTTTTATGTTTTCAATGTCACCTTCAGTTTTTTATAGATGTTAATTTTTTGAAGCCCATCTTTGCAAATAAGTGAGTACTTATTTCTTTCAGTGGTATCTGCACTTATCTACAAAGAATTGAAATTGATCTTGAAAATTTCGGAAATAAAAACAACTGATAAAAATATCGTATATTATGCGGCAAAAATAATTTTAATCAGTTCATCGACAACAGAATAAGTTAAGGTGATCACGTTACGAGGTTCTGTATATTTTCGCTGGTTCTGATACTTTAACAAAGAAATCGTTCAAACGAGAGTTCATTGATATTAAGGAAAGAGTTTATTCGTGTTAAAGAAATCTACCAAAGTATCTTTTTTCCATTAAAAAATTGACGTCAACTTATGTTTCTTAAATACCATTATGTATATTTCTATTCGTATAGCGAAACTACATTTAGTTTCAAGAATTTTTAACGAATTGTTCACCATTCACATGAATCGAAATGAGCTAAATTGCTATTGATTTCCGCAACATCAATTTGAAATCTGTAAAGAATTAGTACCAGATTCAATATTTATGTAAATAGACAGGTGATTCCAAACTTTTGGCCGATAGCATGGTTAAACTATTTTCATAAATTTTCGATAATTAAAATAAAACCATTGGTCTTGTACTGTTTCCAGCTGAAGTGACTTTTTAGGCAGCAAATTTGAAAACTAACGCGGTAGTAAAACAATAACATTTATTAACTTGCTTTAACCCTAGAGCACTAACATGGAAAATACAGTGATCCAAGGGATGTTTCTTTCATATATACTTATCTTGTTATATTTTTACTTTAGTGTCAATGAAGTTAGCAAAATAAGTAGAGATATTATTTTTATTACATGAAGCACAGTATACCCCATGTTAACATTTCAATGTCACAAAAAATTAATGTTAGTGTTCCAGGGTTAGACATAATTGAAGTAGAAATTATTCAATGAAAAGTGATTATTAAAGTAAATTCAGCATGATATTTAAAAAATGAGTCGTCACCTTATTGGCAGTAGTCTTCTTACTGGTAGTATTACTAGTAACCTTCCAAGAACAAATTTCTTGATAGAATGTTGATACTTCGCTCGGAATATACTTCATTAACTCAATCACATCTTGAATTCTCTTTTCGTTTATTGCCAAATCCATGACAAATGCTGTTTTTTCCTCGTTAAACTGAAGAGAGTACCTAAAACACAGGTATATGTTAGTTATTTTGCACCGTTCTTGGTCCCAACATGTTCAATTCAACATTTGGTTTTGAGATTGTTTGAAAATGGCTAATTTTGAACTTGCACTGTTCTCCAACTCGCCGATTCAATCAAAATTTAATATTTTCCGCTCGTTATTCTTAAAAATATTTCACATATACACCCTTACAAAGAATTCCAATTCAACGTTATCTCTTTCTTTCCAAATTAAGTAAATAATTCTCATATGAACCAAGTTGTTACAGACTTAATTGTAACAAATTAATTACACACACATATGATTGAATCAGACACAACGTGACAAACTCTTAGTATTTAGCAATTTCAAATGAGCTGTACGTTCGAAACGGAAAACTTGCAGATAGATAAATAAATACATTTACATAATTATAAATAAACTAAGAAAGAGCAGAGTAATCTATAAGTATCACTTAAGTAAACGACCTGTAACGATGAATGAATATATTAGAACAGAAAGTGTGAAAACATCGTGAAAGATTTATTAACAAATTTTCTCCAGAGTCTCTGCTCAATTAGAGAAAAGATGAAAGTACTTGTTTGAAGAAAGCAGAAAGAAAACAAGAAGGAAGATGGATACTGCGTGGTGTGTTACTATGGAACAAAAATATTCGGTATACCTACGAACAGCAAATCAATCATTAATTGCATTAATACAAGTACCAAGATTTGACACCCCATTGTATCACGAAACGAGAAATAAAATATGGTACAAAGTCGACCTGCGTTCACATATTATTCAGCCTGTGGTAGTCTTATAGAAGGAGACCGAAAGTTCCTTTCTCTGTTCCTTTCTCCAGTATCGTTTTTATGCGATCGTGAATCTTATAATAATAAGATAAATCGCACAAATTGCATAGTCGTTAATCAAACGCTCACTTACACTTCTGTTCACGAGTCCGTAATCATTTCTACTGAATTTAAACGAAAAATCAATATACAGGGTGTCCCAGTTTTTTCTGATCAAACATTGTCAGTATATTCTATGGGTATAAGTAAGAGAAAAATGTTATATAAACATAGGTCGTTTGAAGCTTCGTTAAAAAGTTTTATGAGAAAAATACGAAATACGAAGGAAATGGTAACGAACTTGCGGTTACCATGATACAAGACGAGAATGACACTGGCAAAAGTACATTCAACACCTTCAACGACCTCGTAACACAGCTCGCATAAACAGACTAGATGTACATATCGCTGATCTATTCCTATTTTGTATTATAACCTCACATTCGTTAACATTCCCTTTCCATTTCGTATTATTAATATAACATTTTAATAAAGCTTCAAACGACGTATATTTGTATAACATTTTTTTTTTACTTATACCCATAGAATATACTGACAAAGTTTGATCCGAAAAAACTGGGACACCCTGTATATTATAGTTATTAACCTTCAGACAGCGGATGGCGTAACGCACGCACGGCGGATGCCGGGTCAAATGTGACCCAGTACTAAAATCTCTCATACGCAAGCGAAACCACATTTTTTTATTTTACTAGGCATAATATTCTCTTAACGATTAAAATAACAAGCATATTTGTAATATAAAAAGAAGAGAGTTGTGTGTCTGTTTCGAATGCTGGTGGAACAAGGGAAATCTAAAAGTGAGGTCAATAGTGACCCGGCATTCGCCGTCCGAAAGTTAAAAAATAGCGAGTAAATCCTTTTTAGTAATAGCGAAGAAAAGCAACTACGTAATGTTTTTATTCGTCATTTGCAGGATTCGGAGCTTCAGGAGTTAAGGGAAACGATCGAAAGGCTTCGAAAACAGAGCGCTGAAGCTGGCTTGAACAACGGACCAGCGGCGAACAATGGCCGCCGTCATACTCTCGGCGATTCTGATTCCGGAACAACTGGTTGCACCGGGACAAACAGCCACCAGGGTGCCTCTATGGCAAGACAGTTGTCCGCGGACAGCGTCACGTCCTTGAATTCCTTGAGCAGCGCTTGTTCGGCCAGCAGCCACCACAAGAAGAAAGGCTGGCTTCGTAGCTCCTTCTCGAAAGCTTTCTCGAGGTCGCGGAAGAATAGGCACGGTTCAGTTTCCGATGCTGAAGATTGCAAAGAGAACACCGGCGGGGACCTGAGCGCGCCGAACAGCCCTAGATTGCCAACTGCCTCTAAACACGAATCTTCCCGGGGTCAAGATACCAGAACCAACGGGCAGAAGTCGCCGGAAATCGAGAATCCATTGACGGGCAGCAAGAGCAGCTCCGCTTTGTATAAGAAAGAAGACGAGGATGTGGTGGAATTGAAAAAGCAACTCAGGGAAAAGGATCTAGTACTGACGGATATTAGGCTTGAAGCTTTGTCCTCGGCGCATCAACTGGAATCGTTAAAAGACACTGTTATTAAAATGAGGGTACGTGTTGTATTCGTCACACTTAGGAATTTTTCAACATGTTCACCCGGACAGACGTTTTAGGTTTTCACACTGCTGTGTTTTGTTCGATCGTCAATTTAACTTAATCCTGAAATGTACGAGGATCAGTCGATAAGTAAGTTATACCTTCCTGCTGTTTTCGATTCAGAAAGCATAATTCTCGCTGAAATTCTGCCTAGGGGAGGAATATCTCACGCTTTTGCTTATTGTTCAACGTTAAAACGTCTACGAACAGCCATAAAAAACAAATGACCCGGAAAACTCTGTAAAAAAGGGGTCCTCCTCCGCGACAATGCTTGACCACATTCTGCAACTGTGACACAGATGCTGTTGCGTGAGGTTCAATGGAAACAATGAGAACGTCCACCTTATAGTCCGGACCTCTTACCATGTGATTTCCATGTGTTTGACCGAATGAAAAAAAGCATGACTGTAAAGGATTTCAGCATGGATGACAAAGTGAAGGAAGCAACCTTAAAGTGGTTACAGAAAATCTAACGTAAATTTTTTGAGAACGGAATTCGATAATTGGTTCCTCGTTGTAACAAATGTTTACAGACACTCGGTGATTATGTTGAGAAATAGTAGCTGGTTGTCAGTTTACCTTGTAAGGGTAACTTATTTATTGACTCACCCTCATATATTTTACTTTACTTCAGAATTCATCATAATATATGATAATATTCGTCATTCATAACATAAAACATGTTAGAAATTGCTAACTTATTTAGTTTTAATAATTTAATTTGATACCTTTTCTTTTACTATATTTAAACAAATTATTTTTAAAATGGTTCATATGGATGTTTGTTGTATTTTTGAAAAATGGAAACTATTACTCATTTTGTACAATTTAATGTGCTAATTGAAAAAATTTTACTTAGAAATTTTATTATACTAACCGTACAGCATACGAAAACTGAAAAATCTATTATACTCTTGAAAGTAACATTTCTCAATGAAATTTAGTATGTTTATTTATCGTGAAATATTTCTCATTTCAATACTAACTTTAGACGATAGAACGATAAATGATAGTGATACGTACTGTAAAATTTGTGATCAGGCATTTGTACGTTTCGTGTTATTAATTATGAGTCCATGTAAAAGGTAGTAATAATTCCAAAGGTCGTTAGTTGCGTGAACGAAAATTAGTGCTCTCACTGCTCAACATTATCCTTAATAAAAAGGAACAGTCCAGCTGTAATTGTGTACACAAAAACTTTTTAATCTGAAAGCATTAATAGTAACTAATTAATAACTTCTCACGATAAAGTAAACAAATAATCAAAGTAAAAGAAAAATTTTCGATCTTATAAAAAATCTACCTAATCTAATTTGTAAAATGTGTATTTCTTTCTTAACTTTGAAATAATTGTTATTTGCAGAACGAGATGCTGAATTTAAAACAAAACAACGAGCGTCTGCAGAGACTGGTAACGTCAAAATCCTTGACATCCTCTCAGTCATCGTTGCCCAGTGATCCAGACAGACGCTTCAGCATGACAGAAGTAGCTTCGACCGTTGCTGCACTGTCAAATGGCGATAGTAGTACAACAACTGACCAACTGGAAGATCTGAATGTACCAGAACATACGGTAGTGCCGTCAGCTACCTCGACTGCCGGAGAACCAGCGTTGGAGCAAGATACAGATGGGAAAAGAATTAACGTTGCTATCTACCTAGGAAGCGAGGAAAATTTTAATTATAATCTCGTAACCGGAAACACTTCGGATGGTAGCATTGGTGAACCGCCTCATTGTGTAATCGCGAATGTCTGTATTAGCAATAAAACTACATGGAACTCCCTTGATTCCACTGTAAGACGTTGTTTCAAGGAATATGTCTTAAGAGTTGATCCCGTGACAAACTTGGGTCTGGGTATTGAATGCGTTGCTGCTTATCATCTTGGCGAGGCTTCTAGGTATATATTTTATAATTACTATATTTTTCACTATTACAATTAGTAGAGAAACTTATTTTACTGTTAGCCAATGTTTCTCCTTGCAAGTAAGAGATATTTAGTAAGAGATTTTTCTAATACAAACTCGTAAAACTTTATCTTTATGTCTACCTCTTGAACCACACCAAGTAGTATTAATGATAACTGTATTAAAATAAATGTTTTATATTAATTTCATATAATGTAAAGAGAAAAATAGATATTTTTGTTATTTTTGTATTTTTGTATTTCTTTGCTACAGGTGCACTACGGATTCCCAGCATCCTGAACTACTTCCCTGCGGCTACTTGATCGGTCACGTAAAAACTATTTACTTAGTGCTTTCCGGTTACTCGTGGCTAGCTGTAGATACTCTAATACCACGATCCATTGTGCAACGACTGATATCTCTGCTAACTGAACATCGTAGAGTGATTCTTTGCGGGCCTAGTGGCACCGGTAAAAGCTATTTAGCTGGAAAATTGGCTCATGCCCTGGTCGATGCTGACAACGATACAAAAGACGCCACAGCGGTAGCCACGTTCAATGTCGATCACAAATCTAGTAAAGAACTCAGGCAATATCTCGCACACATCGCCGAAAGATGCGATTCGAACGCAGCCGACGAACTACCAAGGGTAATCATTCTCGAAAATTTACAACACGCTGCATCTTTAGGGGAATTATTTAGTGGCCTTCTTGGTACCAAACACTCCTCTTGTCCAGCTATTATCGGTACCATGAGCCAGGCCACTTGCAGCACGACGAATCTTCAGTTACATCACAACTTTAGGTACGTTTTCTTACTTGTCTTTCGATAAAAATAGTATGCTTTTGTTTCTTATATTTTTACAAGTCAATTTTCTATTTTCAGGTGGGTGTTGTGCGCTAAGCACATGGAACCAGTTAAAGGATTCTTAGGTCGTTATCTCAGGCGGAAGTTATTGGAACACGAGTTACGTGAGTGTGGTGGAACCAGAAACGCAGAAATGGCAGCAGTTGTCGAATGGTTACCACGAGTTTGGTTACATCTTAACAATTTCCTAGAAACCCATAGCAGCTCCGATGTCACTATAGGTAAAATTATAATAGATGATAATTTCAACAATCTCATGATAAACAAATAAACGAAAATAAACATACAACTTCCAGGGCCGCGGCTATTTCTGTCTTGTCCAATGGAAGTAACGGGTTCTCAAGTATGGTTTACGGACTTATGGAACTACTCCGTAGTACCGTACCTTGTAGAAGCAGTTAGAGAAGGATTAACACTTTATGGCAGACGCGTAGGCGGAAATGGAAACGGGGATTCCTCCTGGGAAGATCCAGCTCAATTTATAACTTCAAGTTATCCATGGATTTCCACACATGCGGTGCACGGTGGCAGCGATGCTCTTCTTCGTTTACGGCCTGAGGACGTTGGCTACGACGTCGTTACATCTGGACACACTTCCGGAGTTGGCGCTTCAAGTGTTAAAAGTCTTGGCAGTACACACAGTGACACCGAAGGAGATCCACTAGTTAGTGTCTTGTTTTTATTATATTCAACATTCAGATAATAAGAATGTGACCACTGATAACTCGCAACTCATACGAAACATTACGTGAAAGTGTTTCAGATTAGATTTAACGATTTGCATATGTAAAGTTTTGCTATAATTGTATTCGTTAGATTCATTGGATATTGTATTTAGATTTTTCTCATTAAATATCGTTACTGTTTTATTATTAATCTTTTGCCTTGTCAGAGTGAAATATTTGCATTTCAAAATAATGGACTTACTAAGTAACAAAGAAAACATTTAAATATAGAAAAATATTCATTATATAATAATTAATTAAAATTTCCCGTTGTTGCAGCTGAATATGTTGATGAGGCTGCAGGAAGCAGCCAATTATTCGAGTCCTCACAGCAATGACAGTGACTCGGTTACCTCTCTTGACTCGTCGCTCACTCGACACTCCGAAGATTTAAGTTCATCGACATCTTCGTCAAGGGGCGTAGAATCAGCGCTTTAATTCAACGGTTCTATCATCATTAATGAAGAAGCAACAGAACATCTAAACACGATCGTATATCAGGCCAGTTTGTAACACTCAGTTTAAGAAATAACAATTGATGCTTATTTAGACGTTCAAGAGTAAATGCATACACAAATTTAAAAAATCAAAAATAAACTTTGGATACCTTTACAGATCTTCTCTTTTTAACTTTTTACGACAAAAGATATCAAATGGATATTAAACGATCGAACTATAAGTGAAAACTATAATGTTTTCAGCAGTGCGTGATACGATACTCTTTATAAAATACGTCCTTCCATTTGTTCTTACATAAGACACTAATGTGCATTACAAATAAAATTAAAAATGTCGAGAAAAATTTTTTAACGCCTACAGCTGGCCTATATTTATTCTAGATTTTTATGTGCGTTATGCACCTCGGTGTGATATGTAATTAAATAAGTAAGAGACAAGTAAGCGATACTTCTATGTTCTTTGAATATATCGACATAAACGCGCACGTCGCCACGCGATGCAATAATCTATGCTGCCGTTACGGAAGTACGAGTCTATTTTAAACAGATACATTTCTATGATCAAATTAAGTACGACTAGGTATAGCTTAATGCGATTCTACTCGAGAAATTTGGACGAAATATACAGTATTATCATAGGGCGTAAAAACAAAAGGCTTCGAACTGAGCCAAGATTCAGGATCGAGGAACCGCCATTCCTCTCGTCCACTACATTCAGGTAATAGCTTATTCGATAGACAGATCTCATGGACGGGCCGCTCAACGGAGTGTATTGTTTCGCCTTCAGAAATACAGCGCAGTTCGAAGTGAGCACTGACGGATGTGCGTGCAAAAATAGTCTATTTATACATACTTTGCTACAAAGGCTCTATTTAATTAAAAAATGTTAATATAATAATTTACACACACATACACAGAGTGAGGGAAAGACACACACACATACACGAACACAACCTAACAATGATGGCGCTAAATGTATGAATAAAGTTTATAATTAGTCAATAAGATACGTGAGTAATTCTGGTCATGTAACATTGTAAATACAAAATATGTGAGTGGGATACACGATGACGCTAGATGCAAATTTGATTCGAAGTCCCATGCGTAGCCTGCGAGGTTTCTTTCGATAATGGCGTGTAAAATATAAAAAAGAAAGGAGAAAGAGATAAAAAGCAAAGGAATTGAATCCTTCATGTGCAATTTATTAAATTGCAGCGTATCAAATGCCAACGTAACAAAAGATAACACAGGCTACCACAGACTTATACATACTGTACATGTTCCATAGGCCTTCAGACCGATTGCAAATATCAATCAATGGCATGATGTCCCAAATACGATGTGCATGTAACGTAACGATTATACAATCGCATTTATAAGTTTTTTACGTTTGTACCGTATTTATACGCTGTACGGCGCTGCACTCGACCTTTACTCAAATAACGATAATTATTGTGTCATCAAATAAATCACACTAAACTTTATATGGTTGGTATTAATTTGATTGTTCTTTTTAATCAACTTCACTTGCCCACTACACAGGCATTTTGTTTTGTAAATTTAATAAATTTATATATACAAAGCTGTTTTATTTAGGTTAAAGATATACAGTAAATTTGTGCATAAGCAGTAAGTAAAAACAATCCAGTAATGTTTCAATAAATCTGAAATTAATGTAATTTTTTGGAATGATATTAAAAAAGTATAATTTAAAGCTGTATAATTTATAATATGAACGTTTTCTTAATGTCTCAGACATTAAAATTGTTTAAATGCGTTAAATATTCTATAAAATATAGGCTACCGATGGTCTAGAATAACATTGGAAGCATACGTTTTACTTTTCAAACAATACTCTACAACTGCATAAATAGTAAGCATTCTCCTATCCATCGCACCTAAATGGGCTTCTGTAATGAGAGGATCAACACCCGCCGTTACCGATTCGTGAGCGACGAGCTTTCCAAGAGCTGTACTCAAAGAACCACCACTAAACAATTTTAAACGATCCCAGGTAGTTTTGTGAATCCTAAAAGTAAAAATGAAAATAATGATTTTAGAAGTCTTAGAGCTATCGTTACAATGTTATAATTGCGAGATAAAATTAATATTTATATAAATACGTACATGCAACATTGATACAAAGGAGCTAAAATATCAAAATGATCAACATCAGGATTTCCGAGGCTCTTCCCATTATCAATTAATAAAACTGCAGGATTATGAAAATTGTTTTGTGCTAGTTCGTAATGATGACGGTCACCATTATCCATTAAAAAATCAAAAATAGCAGTATCTATTAAATCTAAAAGTCTACTCGACGATTGTGGAGAATACGCTTTGGAGTCTTTTACCTAAAGAACCAAATACTCCAATATTACTTTCAAGAAAAAGAAAGTAAAAGAAGATACACTTGTTACATATGATTTGAATCTACTTTTTCACAATAGTTATCGTCTGTTTCCCACGCTGCAAGTTTGTTCTTTTTGTAAGTCCTTTGCCACGGATGACGATGCTTTACTAGTCTTAAATATCGCGGTAACCAGGAAATTAAAGCACCTTCCAGTATGTTTCCTGTTCCACAAACTGGATTTGCAGGAGAGCAATAATGGCAAACACCATATAGGCAAGTATCATTACCATCTTGATACATAGTAGCATACAGTTCAGGAGTTGCCCGTGGACGAATCTCATTCCTTAAGTCAACTGCAAAAAATTTTTACAAAAAATAATTAAATATTACAAATTACATAAAAATACATGCATGTAAATTTTTATCACAAATAACACAAATGAAACGAACATTTTCTTATAACAGTAAGCGGCACTCTTCTCAAGGCCAGTAAGGAGGCTAAATGAAACGCTACTACTTCAGCATTGTGCCGGTCTTTTCCGTGATAAACAGGCCCTCGGATAATAGTGTCCCTAGAATACCACTGAGGCTTGAACATCGCTTTTGTTCCATGTTCCAAGGTTAACATCAGCTTCAGTTGCGTACCAAGTGGTGCGTTATCTGCACGCATTACTTTTGATTTGCGCAAAATATCCAGAATTGTCCCTAACTCGGGCGCAACCGGTGGAATTAACTGATGAGCATCAGGCCACTAAAAATACAATAATTACTATATTAATTTAATATTTAGTAGTATTAGTATTTTAAAATTGATATTAACAATAGAAAAATACTATCATTTTACATTATTTGGAAACATTTCAGCACAACACTAACATTGCTATTAGGAATACTCCATATATTTTCACGAACGTTAGGCATTATCCTTAATTCAGTTAACAATCGTTCCAATACTATTGTATAGGTAATATTCTGTTTAAAATATCTCAAAGGTAATATCTGAATCTCTTCTCTAATTTTCTTCACCATATCTTTCGCAACCGATTTTTGCGGTACTTGTAAGTTTTGTTCTACTTGAGATATTAACTGCTCTTGCGATTTTAATTGCGTAATGGGCATGTCTTTAGAGAAGGCTTTTTGTGACGAGCTTTCTACAATCATTCGAATGAAATATACATTGACGCTAAGAACAAGAATCAAAAGACCGCCCAAAGCGATGAGGGCACAGCGACGGCCAATCATCTGTGAACAAAATTTAAAGTTTCGATCGAATAAACGTAAAATAGATGGCGCGCAACTATTTTACTTGGCCATCATAGAGGAACTACATAGCCATAAAGATTTATAGTTACGCCATTTTCGTTCTTTACAAATTCCTATTCGATATAGTTTCTTAACATGTAATAATGTGTGATAAACGTTTTAATGCATATGTGTAACTAAAAAGCTCTGTGAAAACTAAACTATTTCACACTAACAATATTACAGAAATTACTAGCTTTCCAACAAAATACAATAATTTTAATTAAATGAAGGACTTTATAAAACTACAGTTAACGTTATAAGCATGTTACTACTGTACAGGCATGATAGAAGTGTATATAGATTATTTGTTGAACTTAAAAAATATTAGTAAATTCTTTTTTAAAGAAATACATCTATTGACATCACCTTTAAAAATTGGCCACGCTGCTGCTGTCACCTGATAATAAATGTTTCTCTCATTTTTCCATAAAACCTCCGCTTAGTTGCATCCAACTGTGATGGGGCGACAGGTATCCGTCGCCATTTTTAACTTCAATAAAAAGTACTCGCCGCCGTGAAGCATTGGTGCAATATCGTAAATTTAATATGAATAAACATCTTTGAAAACACTTAACAACTATTAAATAATCTCCAAAATATTAAAAACTATCGATTTTATAGTATTTTAATTTAGAACAATAAAATGTAATTCGCATATCGTACATTTATCGAAAATAAAATAACTTTTAAAATATGTTGTGGAATTTTTCAACACCTTATAGTATAGGTTATACACATTCATGGAAAATTTGTATTATACATATAGGATAGTAAATTATGGGACAATAATTATAATCATGAATTTATTTTATAAAAACATGTAAACTACATGGTGAATATAATCGAATTAAATTTAGGCTATTACTCCAAATTGAGTAAATTTTTTCTTAAAACGCGGTGATGTTCGAATGGCTCGGCTCTAAATCGTTTTTATCTCTATAGTTACACGCGTACAAACATTTATATCGATATATACATGTTAGCAGGTTTTCATTCCCTTCGTTGTCTCTCTCTTTCCCGAGCAAGCTCTGTGGCATAATCATAGGGTGAGCCTTTCCTACAATAAATAAAAAGTTAAGAATCTACTACTAATCAATAATATGTTAAAGAAAGGGACAACACATTACCTATCTCGATGACGATCTTTATCGCGATAACGGTCTTTACTTTTATCACTATGTGATCTGTCTCTACTGCGACTTCTGTATTCTCTTTGTCTCCGACTTCGATCGCGGCTGCTCGATCGTTTGCAGTGTCGATCCCTTTCTCGCTCCCTTTCTCGTGCACGTTCCCGCTCTCTTTCTCTTATTCGATCTCGCTCACGATCTCGATCTCTGTATTTGTCCTTACGTTCCTCATCAGACCTGGAAAAAACATTATTCGAAGGGAAGTAACGCTGAATAATGAGTAATATTTCAAAAATGTATACAGCCTGTATAAATGCACATATATAATGCATTTATTTATAATGAAAGATACCAAGAAATTATTAATTTTAAACACTTCGATATTACACCTTTGTGTAATTTATAATTATACAGCTTTTAAGAAATTCAAAACAGACACGAGTAAGTGTAAATAATATATATAAGTTTAAATACAGGGTGTCCCGTAACTGGTGGTACAAGCGAGCAGGGGGTGACTCTACGTGAAGAACTGAATCGAAAATGTAGAATAAAATTTTTTCATGAGAAGCTTTGTTTTCGAGAAAAATAAGTTTGAAAATTCGTCGAGTACGTGTGCTCTCGGCTTTACGTTTGTACTAATAAACGATACTAATTTCATGAAAAGTATTGATAATACATTTATTAACGATTTCCTTAATTTAAATTTACATTACTAATCGAATTGTTGAAAGTAACGTCTGTTAATGTATACAAATCTTTGCTCTTTAAATCGGAGAGTTATGGACTGATGATACGATATTTTGACACTTTAATTTTCTAAAAGCTTGTACCATTCTTTCTTTTAGCTGCAGATTTACACTATCCTCTGCGTAGACTATTTGTTTACGAAATGTGACATTACCGCTGTTTATCAACGTAAAAGTATGAGCAGAAGTAACAGTTTGTAGCAAATATTTAAAATCAATTTTCTCGGAAACAAAGTCTCGTATGAAAAAATTTTATTCTACATTTTCAATTCAGTTTTTCACGTAGAATCACTCCCTGCTCGCTTGTACCACCAGTTACGGGACACCCTATATATTGTAAAAAATTTGCAAAATAACTGTACAAGGATCAAATAAGAACATACACATGTACTAAAGGAAATTGAACGATGATACACTGAGATCAAGAGTATTTTCCTGGAGATGGTACGTCTTTAATCTTCACCCCATTTCCCTAACAAGTTCATAGAATATTATTAACCTTATATAAATTAGTAACGTGATTGTATTCATACCACGTAGACGCACCTGGCTCGCCAGTGGCTTGTTCTTTCAGCCTCACCCCATTGTGCTTCACTATCTGGGATATGTCGTGGTTGGTTTCGTGAGGTAAGATTGCCATTGTCTTTTCTATTATTACTATTACTATATTTTCCATGACTATTTAGTGTGATAGGTGGCTTTGCATTTCGAGCATTCATAGATTGCTGAGGAAATCTTTCTGCTAATCGATGTTCAAGTTCTTTTTGTATAGGCACTGGTATTCTTGGGAATAAAGTTGAAAACCACTCTAATTTAGTAAGAAATTGTTTGAGAATATCACCCATTTTCATTACTTGTCCTCCTCCAGCTTTTACATCTAATTCTTCTTCATCCTCTAAATAATCACTGTACCAACTAAATAAGTCAGCTGGTGGTTGTGTATATCTGTTAACACCAATAATAGTATGTGTATAATATATAAGATCAAACAACTTTTCCAAATAAAATTTAATATTGTATTATTATTCATACCTAATGTACATAAATCCTAATGCCCGAATATATGGTGAATCAGGATGGTTGATAAGACCATTTAATTGCTTCCGTGTTAACCTCAAAGTGAAGAGTTTATATAGGAGACAATAAGCCGTCGAAACAATTCCACCAGCACCAACACCTCGGACCTGCATGAACCGCTAAATTTACACCCCCCTATGTCAATTAATCACATTCATATTACATTATAATATATTGACCGAGAACATGCTATTCTGCAATTAAGTGTGGTATTAAGTGAGACTGTCTGCTCAATGTCCGAATTCAAACTAGTTTGGGACCAATATTTTGATATTGATGCTTGATTTTACAATAGTAAAAGTCTAAAATATTTAGGACTTTTATTTTGAATAATTTATTTTAAATGTTTTCACCTTTTCTATTTTTATCAGCAGTTCTTATATCATAAATTGCCCAGGTCCTCCAAAATGTTATAAATTTGGAGGCTTTCTGTGCGTATGGTAATAATTCTGTGATTGTCTTAATTTTAAGTCATAAATAATAATTAAAAATTAACAAATGTATTAGAAAACATACTCACGCCTCCACACATGCCAGTTTGGCCTGCTGTTTTCCTGCTTCCTTTCTCCCATGGTTCCAAATGAGACACTTTGTAATAAATTTCATCGATAACTTCGTGGTATGTCTTCAACTCATATAAATTCACTTTAAAATAATGTGATGACTGTATGTTTGTTAAAATTAATGGATTTAAGTTCATAGTCCTTTCATTTCCCCACAAAGGTAGAATATTCGATTTTTTACCCTCCTTTTGAGTTGGTCTGCGGTCTTCATCACAACCACTGGAATTATTCCATGGGGAACCTATATAAAAATGTTTTACTTGAGTACTTATCTGGATAATCACAACGTAATACTAGTCGACGAATATAATCGTGTAATAGAGGTTAAGTACATTACAATGAATAAACGGGCTATAGAGTATTTTATCCCATTATGAAATATTACAAAGATAAAAAATAAAATGCACGTGACAAACACAATACTAGTTTTCTTACCATCGGCTCCTTCTGCATCTTGTACTTGCATGTTTGTATCGAAACTCGCGAGTCTCGCGACGAAGTTTAACAGATCAGGCACACCATACAAACGTTATATATCACAAAAAATATACAAAGTTAACGAATATAACAGAAAATAAATATACTTGAACGTTCAAAATAATTCGATCAAAATTCTAAGAGCTCGCTTAACGTTGTTTTCTGCAAATATATGGAAAACTGACGTCAACGGGAAACGAAAAAAAAGACACAATACGGTAATACGCATGCCTATAAGATGTATACATCCGGTTTCATTCGCATGTAGTATTTTCATTTGCATTTACACGTATATATGATAACCAAATATCACAGGTGTTTCATTTTATAAATAGATCAACATTTAAAAAATTGCTGAAGCAAAATTGCATGATAAATATTTAAAAATCAATAAGTTTGCATTGTAAAAGAATTTACACATGTTAATCTCAATTGTTATTTCAGTACTTTAAGCTACGCATGAAATCACATAAAACGAATAATGTAACTTTCAAACACACTATTCACAAAATTACAATAATTTAGTAGACTTTTCTTATAATAATGTAATAAACTATTAGTATTTAAAGTTATATATATTTCCAATATTTCAACGTCAAAACTGAACGAGTAATCCAAATATTGTATGCCATTACTATGAGAAATGTAGTAACAAAAGCATAACATTTTCCCTAGAAATGTATACCTGTTATTACTAGGATATGAAAAGATTTATAAATTCAAAATTAACATACTGCAATAAATTTAATAAATATTTTACATTTATTTGCAGTTTAATCTTCTGTCAAAAATGTATTTTATCTAAAATGATATACAACCTTTTAGAATAACTTAAGTATTGCTAAGTTATTTATATTCATATGGATACATAAATTTATATAACATTGATAATCCTTAAACAAAAGACTAATTATAAAAAATATAGCATTCCATTATTGGTAAAATTTATTAATAAAAATTGCAAAAAAACTAAAATATATGCATTTATATTATTTATTAGTAGATGAATATAGAAGTGCGTAATAAACAGCTGATGTGTTATATATTCACTACATAAACATGAATATATAATGTATACACGTGATCTTTAAATGTCACTGCTACGTTGACATCTTATACGAGATTTAAAAAATGCATGGAATCTAATGCAATTTAATTAATTTTAATATCTTTAATATTCAATTCTTACTAAAGAATGTATATTAACACTACTTAGTGTCATTCGTAATATATAGTTTATAAATATTTATCAGTATAAAATCATGTAGGTTATTTTAATAACTAAAAATAATAGTTTTTATATAGATATGCTTTATAATGTCATGATTGATTACATAATTATAAAATAAAATATCAAAATCATTATAGTATTTTGTTTTCCATAAGTTATGTTAAAATTTAACCAGTATAATAGGAAGCCCTTTGGATATGTACCTTGTGTTCCATATTTGAATCTTATAAAAAGGTTCCAACATCGTAATAATATGAAGGTACAGTCCACTATACTACTAAATAGTGTTATGTGAAATATTCAAACGATTTATTTCATTCCTGAGCATGTTAGGTCATTTAGACCCATTTATGTGGACAATCACTTTTATATAATATAAAAAAGTAACCGCCAATTTTTTAAATAGATTATTATACATCTTTGTATATTAAATTTTCATTTAATAAATTGTTTATTATATCATACCCTACAAATTGCATTCTATTTTAAAGAAATGGTATCAAACACTAGAAGTTCCAGAGGATTGTGAAGATGAAACGTTAAGATTGGCATTTGTTTATCAAGCAAAAAGGTTTCACCCAGACAGTGGTACATCAGAAGCTAATGCAATCAAGTTTTCTGAGGTATAATATAGTGCTTTAATAGTCGAGATTATCTAATACTTTCAAATATATGTAAATTTTTTTTTTACAGATTGAAACTGCTTACAGACAAATTCGTAAAGCAAGAATGGAAGAGAAAGAAAATAGTACAAACTTACCCCAAGTAGAAGAATTTGATATTAAAGTATATTGAATTATTAAAATATAAGCATAAAATACCTTGTTATTTTTCACTACTCTAATATATGCATATTCACTGTTTAGCACACAGCACCACAACATCGTCATTATTTAATGTATAATGTAGGAATTGGAACACCTAGTAAAAGACAGAAGTTATATACAATGGAAAGAGCTCAGAAAGCAGTTGACAATGTAATGGAGCATCAATTGAAAAAATTGCAAGCTGAAGAGCGTAATACATTAATTGGAATGGATAAACAACGTGCAAAAGATATTAAAACACGTTTTGGTATGGATCGTTTAGTAGAAGATTTAATTCAGGAAGCAATGAATAAAGGTGAATTCAAAGATCTACCAGGCATGGGTAAACCGCTGAAAGAAAATACAAATACCCGAAATCCATATGTTGATTTTGTCACTTATAAAATGAATGAGGTATAAAAATTAATTTTAATTAGAAATTTTCAACAAATAATGTATTGAATTAAATTACAGATATTAATAGAAAATGGGTTTACTCCAGAATGGATACAATTATCTAAAGAAATTAGGGAAGAAATACAAGACTTACGAAAACAATTAATAAACGCACGCAATAACGTAGGTCCACTTCCATTAAATTATTCTGACGAATCAACGTGGAATAATATTGTAGAAAATTTTAATTCTACAACAAAACAAATAAATAGTAAAATTGATAAATACAACTTATTGGTACCTATACTTCAAAAACAAATGCTTCATATTAAATTGCAAGATCTTGCAAACGAAGTACTTTCAATGCCACCAAAAGAAACTAGTAAAAAGTATAATTCGAAAAAGAAAACTTCTGATTTTATTAATGAACAAGACAGTTTATTTGGAATAATTACTTCAATTTTTAATAAAAAAGTTTCGTAGAAAATATATTTCTTTAGAAATTTTAATATGTAAAATGTAAGACTAAATGTATCAAAACTCTATTGTACATAATGTAATTATACGATAATATGAGTTTAATAATTCCACATAATGGAATTATCTTTTTTCAGTTGTATCCTTCCAGTAGCTAAATATTTTAAAGCTAGTGGAAATATTCGATGTTCAGCTGTTTTCACTCGTTCTTGGAGACTTTCTACAGTATCATGTGGTAATACGGGTACCGCTGCTTGTTCAATAATTGCTCCAGAATCTATATCGATCTGAAAATAATTTTTTAAAGATATAATTACATTTTCGTGTAAATGTAGTTCAAATGTAACATTTTTATTTTAATTTATTAATAATATATTGTACCTCGACGAAATGCACTGTACATCCTGAAATACGTACTCCGATTGCTAGAGCATCTTTATGTGCACATGCACCTTTGAAGGATGGCAATAACGAAGGGTGTACGTTTATTAAAGCACCGCGCCACCGATTTACAAACTTTTCTGATAAAATACGCATAAAGCCAGCAAGACAAACTATTTCAACTCCAACAGCATCAAGTTCGACATTCATTACTGAATCAAAAGCTTCTCGACTAGGATAATCAGTATGTTTAATAACCTGTTGTTAAATGTTACATTAAAATATAAATATATAGAAACGGTTTATAATGCAATATAATAAGTTAAACAAAATTTAAAAAATAATAATTACCTTTGCCTTAATACCGGCTCTTTCGGCTCGTTTAAGTCCTTCAACATTTGGTTTATTGGATATTACTAGAACAATTTCTGCACCAATATGTTGCGATGAATCTCGAGTTGCATCGATTAGTGCTTGTAAATTTGTTCCACTACCAGATATTAAAACACCTACTCTTTTTAGAGGTTTGCTTAATTTTGTAACGATGTCTGGTATATATCGTTTCATTCCTAATTCTAGTGCTTCTTCAAAATTCTTAACGTTTATTCTAGTTTTACTCTCTGCAATGTTTTAACATGTATAGTACAAATAAAATTTATTTGACTTAACATTAAATGGATCTTACCTTTACAATTAGTTACATGTCCAATGATTTTAGGATTTTCTGTTTGTAATTTTGTTAAAATTTTGTCTTTATCTTTTTCTGAACAAATTAAAATAGCACCAATACCACAATTAAATGTTTTTAACATTTCTTGTTTATTAATCTCTCCTATAAAAAAATAAATTATTTAAAAAAAGTACAAGTATAAAAAAATTGGTATGTTACAATTTAATTAATAGTTTTAATCGTTTTCTTACCTACTGCTGCTAACCAAGCAAAGATTGGTTGAATTTTCCACAATGTTGCGTCTAACACTACTCCCATGTCTTTTGGTAAAACTCTTGGTATATTTTCTGTAAAACCTCCTCCAGTAATATGTGCAAACGCCTTTACTAAATTTGTTCGCAATGCGGGAATTACTGCTTTTACATAAATTTTTGTCGGTTCTAACAATTCGTCACCTTTAATACATTGTAACTATAAATAAACTAATATTATATATATAAACAATAACACATAAGAGAAAAATTAAATACCGATTGTGCCATTATTTTCAGAAAAAGGTGCTACATCTGAATACTTTTTATCTGTTAATTTTAGAACTTTTCGAACAAGACTGAATCCGTTACTATGTATTCCACTCGATGGCAGGCCAATTATAATGTCACCTTGTTTTATGTCATCTATACGTGGAAGTAAATCGTTTCTTTCAACTGCACCTACAGCGAAACCTGCTAAATCATATTCTTCATTGGAATACATATCAGGCATTTCGGCTGTCTCCCCACCAATCTAAAAGCATTATTTATGTACAACATTCGTATTAAATGATTCGAATATGTAATAATTAAATAGAATTACATAGCAAATAAAATAAATATAAATAAGATCTCTCTCTCTCTCTCTCTCTCTCTCTCTCTCTCTCTCTCTCTCTCTCCCTCCCTCTCCCCCCCTCTCATATACTGAAGAATACTTATTCTGTTGATATCATAAAGAAAGTTGGAAAGTACATTTATTTTTACTTACTAACGAACATCCGGCTCTTTTACATCCTTCACTTACTCCATTTATAACATCGTTAGCTATATTCACATTTAATTTACCACAAGCAAAATAATCGAGGAAAAATAAAGGTTCCGCACCATGTGCAAGAACATCGTTCACACACATAGCCACCAAATCTATACCCACTGTGTCATGTTTATTGTATTCAAATGCTATCTGCAGCAGAAAATTAATATGTATGAAATTTTCCCGGCATCAACGTGTTAAATAAGTCTATCAAGTATACACGCATACCTTTAACTTAGTTCCAACACCATCAGTTCCAGATACTAAAATTGGATCCTTATAACCCGCAGCTTTTGTATCAAATAGACCACCAAAACTGCCAATTGAACCTATTGCACCTAAACGTTGTGTTGCACAGGTTACTGGTTTAATAGCCGAAATTAGTGAATCTCCAGCTTCTATATCTACACCGCTACTTTTATATGTTAACTTTCCATGATGTAATATAGACCTGAAAATGCTTGACTAATATTCTTTTCTCTCCTTATAAGTAGCACTCATTACCTAGCTATTCCTTTGTGTGCTATATCTGTTCTAAATTGCTTTCCTTCAAACGATATACTTTGAGCAGCATGTGTTGCTTTGGCAGCAGCTAAAGCCAATGATGGTGCTAAACTTACTGTAATTAAAACTCTTCCTCCTAATGAGCAAATAAAAAGAAATAAGAATAATATTGAACTTACTTATTATATTTAATTTGATGAATATATACATATATTCAAATTGATGTAATTATATATAAAATGTACCATTAGTTAACAATTCTCCTTGAGGAGAAGTATTTGTTCCACTATGAAAAATGAAGTGATTCGTTTTATGCAAAATGTCATTGATGCCTGTTATAACTTGGCCTTTTGATGATGATACTGGATACCCTTGAGATGCCAAAATAATACCAACAGCAAACAAATCTTCTTTCCATACTACTTGAGACTCTAATAAAGATTCCTCGCAACAAGCCTATATTAATATATATTAAATTAGTTTTAGCTGTATTTTTTATGTTAAAGTATAAATTACCTTCATAATGCTAAATAAATCTGAATCCAGTAATGGTAATATCACTTGTGTTTCTGGATCTCCAAATCTACAATTAAATTCTAGTACTTTGGGTCCACTTTTTGTTAACATCAGTCCAGCATATAGTACACCTATACTTTTTAAAACAACAAATTCTTGTAATATCAAATTATTTTCATAAGTTACGTTATAATTACAACACTTGTTACAAACCAACAAATGGAATATGTTCTTGCCTAAGACCATCAATAGCTTTTTGTAAGACATCTGATTTTACTATTTCATAATCTGCTTTGTTTAGCAATGGACATGGGCAATAAGCACCCATACCACCAGTATTTGGTCCTTTATCTTCATTAAATATTCTTTTATGATCTTGAGCAGGTGCCATTGGTACAATAGTTTTTCCTATAAAAAGAAAAAATTCCAATGTATGAAAAACTGTATAATAATGAAATTGGAAAATCTTTATTCAAAGCTTCTTATATCAAACCATCTGTAAATGCAAGTACAGAAACTTCTTCTCCTTCTAGTAATTCTTCTACAACTACTGACTCTCCAGCAGATCCAAATTTTTTATTTGTTAAAATTTCATCTATAGCTTTACATGCTTCTTCTTTATCTTTTGCTACTATAACTCCTTTTCCAGCTGCTAAACCAGAAGCCTTTATTACAAGTGCTGGAAATGGTGCACTGAAATAAATCATTATATATATAATAGTCATTATACAGTTGATCCATAAATGAAAATTTATATCTACTTTACAACAAATTTCTTTGCTTCATCTGCATTTACAAAACCTTTCCATCTTGCAGTAGAAATTTGATATCTATCCATAAATTCTTTTGCCCAGTATTTGTCAGCTTCAATTTTAGATGCTGCTTTTTGTGGACCAAAACAGTTAATTCCTACATCCTTCAATTCATCTGCTAATCCATTTGCCAAATATTCTTCTGGACCAATAACTACTAAATTTATTTTATTTTCTTTACTCCACTTTGCTGTTTCCTATAAAAAAAAAGCTTAATGTAACATTGATACAGTTATATAATTTGACTCAAAATAATATAAAATATACCTTATTATCTTTAATATTTAACTTCACCAAAGACACTTTATCAACTAATGAAATTCCATTGTTTCCAGGAGAAACATAAATTTTATTTACCTAAAAAAATGACATTTAAAGACAAAATATCAAATAAATAATATTATTGTAAACTTTATGAACCACTAATACAAAAATATATTGTGGGTTAAACTTTGTTGGTATAACACTTCACTTTTTAGTTATCTAAATAAAACATTTAAAATACTTACATGTGGGGATTGTGAGAGTTTCCAAGCAATAGCATGTTCTCTACCACCACCACCGATAACCAAAACAGTATACTGCATAGTGTCTAAGAAATATTAGGATTGATTTAATTGTGATAAAATGTAGTAAATCAAAGATGTAATATAACAAAATAAAGTTTACACAATATTTTATAATATGTATTACAAATATTATATGTATTTATACATTATATACTAAATGACAAAGTATTGATGAAAACATTGAAAGATTATCGTTACCGATACTATTACTAATAATAAATACTGTGCACCACTTTATTAAACGCCATATAATACACTATAAAGCTATAACCTCTGTATTTATAATGTTTCACATGTAAAAATTTATACACTCTTTTGAGATTATTATTAATCAATAATAACTTAATACGCACTTTTGTAATTTCTTCGCGTACGTCTAATATGATACACGTGACTTTAAACTTTTTATAATTTTATATGTAGATTTTAAACGATGGATATTGTTTGAAGCAACAGGTAGTAATGAAGTCAAGTTGAGGTACTTTGTTATCTTTGTTTATGTCGACAGAATCATAAGATTCTCAATGAATATTTATGGATGTATCTCAACTCGCATAATGGAAAGACTGCTTCTTCGCGGGAGTTAATCCAATATAAATCGTATAAAGTGAGCGATAACTTTTGACCTTTTAAATCAACTCGTGATAGTTAGAATGTGTTGTGAAAGAAATAATTTTGTAATAACATAAATGCCTAAGTAAGATTAACATTTTAAGTCAAATATAATTCATTGCTTTAATATAAGATATGAAAAACATTGATTGCTACTTTATCCTAACGTAAACGTTCTTGACAAATTTGCAATTAATATTTTACAAGTATCATAACAATTAATTATAGTTTATTTGTTAATTTTTCGAAAATTCAATTATACATAACTATCATTTTTCCATGCTTTATATAGAAGTAATAAAAAGGTATTTAAAAGATTGTGTTTTCATAGTTTATGCAACAATTCACTAAAAGAATTTCAGTAGCAACAAGACGATAGTTTATATTTTAATATTTTTTTAAACTCACAAATTAATGAAGCTAAGTAATTATTTAAAAGATGTGATTATACTACTAAGAGTCAAATCTATTAATTTTGCACGTTGTATGCCTTCGAAAATAACCATAACGCAAATACAAATGTGATAGCAAGTTGTTTAAAAATGGAGGTAGTAGGTCATATTTGTTATTATTGCAAAATCAATGAATGGAAAGATTACATATGCATGCAAAACATTTATACCAGTAATTTTTTAACACAAATGGACCTTATTAAATACTTCTATTTTTAAAAATATAAATATTAAAATGTTATCATTTGTTTTAACAAATTATTTAAAATTCTATGTCCATGCTTATTCAAACATTAAATTTTACATATAGGACTTAAAATTACTGTATTAAACTTATGAAAACATGCTATATAGTTATATTTACTTCGTTATTATTTTTCTTTAATAATTTGTACGAAGATACAAGTATATTTCTGCTTTTAAATCAATTAAGTCGTCATGGAACAACTATGAAGTTCCTTCAAACGATGATATTTTGTTTTTATCTTAATGAAGCGAAATACATAGTCATTATAAAATTAAATGATTGAAAGATTAGAAAAACGAAATATGCCTTTATAGCTTCATAAAACGTTTTCATAAGTATGTTTATCTGTAACATCGGCAGTCATGCGCGCCAATTTTGGTTTTATACAGTTTCGTCTTTTCGTCGAACCACGGGTCAAAATGGTCGTTATCGAATACAAAGATTTTTGTCCAGTGCAAAAGAGCCAGATAAGGAACCAACAAAGGTGGAAAGTGCTGTTAGCACCGAAGTCGCTGTTATGAAAGAATGCAAGACACCTCCAGAAGTTAGCCATCATGAGTGTTATAACATTATTGAAAAACACGCGCTCATTACGAAAAGTTTTTCGCTTCATTACTTCCTTTCTTTTTATCTATTTCTTTGGCTATTCTATACGAATTTAAATTGTGCTATCTTCTTTTAAAATATCATGAAATTAGAATTAATTTAAACGGCATGACTAATTAATTTTTAGGATCGTATACCAGCAGAAAAATCAAGATTACAAAGTGTCCGCGTATATCGTTGGAACCCAGAAAAGCCAAAAGTAAAACCATACATGCAACAGTTCAGTGTGGATTTAAATAAATGTGGTACTATGGTATTGGACGTGTTGGCGTTAATAAAAGCAGAACATGATCCCACGTTATCCTATCGAAGATCCTGTCGCGAAGGAATTTGCGGATCTTGTTCGATGAATATAAATGGTGTCAATACCTTGGCTTGCATCACGTAATGCAGGAAAAATACTTTTTTTTGTTGTTTCGTAATAATTCAGTCCTAGAACCAATTCCTTATAATTATTCTCGATACATGTTAATTATGTAAAAAGTTATACCACTTCAAGGAAAAGAAAGACATTTTACGATATTCCTTTCATCGTAAAACCATATAGTATCCTTCGTTTTCGTTTTTAGAAAAGTGAAGGAGTCGCCAAAGCCCATAGTCATATATCCTTTACCGCATTCATACGTAATTAGAGATCTAGTAACGGATATGGAACAGTTTTTGAAACAATATCAAAATATCGAACCGTTTCTAAAACGACCAGGAGAAGAAAATTTTCTGGGTTTACGACAAATTTTGCAGAGTACAAAAGATAGAGATAAACTCAATGGCTTATACGAGTGCATTCTTTGTGGGTGTTGCACTTATGCATGCCCACCGTATTGGTGGCTCGGTGATAAGTTTTTAGGTCCTGCAACTCTTTTACAGGTATATAACAAAAATGTGGGAATTTATCTGATTTAAGCAAATATTGCGAATCACGAATTGTAATATCTATGGTATGTACAATGATAAATTATTATGATACAGGCTTATAGGTGGATAATAGATTCACGTGATATGGGGCATAAAGAAAGACTTAGCAAATTACGAGATTTCTACTCGGTATATCGATGTCACACTATTTTTAATTGCACAAAAACGTGTCCAAAGGTACAAACTATTCAAAAAACAGAAATTAAGATACTTTTAATAATTTGTATTTTATTACTATATCGATATCTTTTTAAGGGTTTGAATCCTGGAAAAGCAATAGCTCAAATAAAACGATTGTTAGCGGGACTTACAAGTAAAGAAAAACCAGATATGGAAACTCCACTTCCAAACCCTTGCCAGGGCGAAGATATATATCTATGCAGAGAGAAATAGATGGGAAGAAGGAAGAAAGTAATTAATAAAACATCATTCATGAAAAGATTTGCAATTGTATATAAATCGATTCCTTTTGTTATACACAAGATCTTATTTATTTTAAAATACAAGATTATTAGGGTAGAGATTTTCTGATAATTGAACAATTATTTCTCACATATTAATGTATAAAAAAATTTAAGTAAATAAGAGATAATAACACATGTATCTAGTAAACTTTTAATAATCACAAGCGTACAAAAATATAAAATACAACAATTATTTTTTATAATTATTTTTTGTGTAATATTTTAGTAATCATTTCAACTACTGCAATTTCTTTATTAACGTTTGGATAACATTATTCTTAACTTAATTTTTTGTATGCTATTATACTTATAGGATAAGGTAACTTAAAGTGTAATTATGATATTAACATTTGTCATATATTGAAACTTAAACTCGTTTCTTTAGTCATTAATCAGCTTATATCATAAATAACACTTTACATTCAACAAATAGATTAGAACTCACCGATTGTTGAAATAACATTACTTAAAACAAAAATGTAATTCTGAGAAAATTTTAAACTTTGTCATTTTAAGATAGCAAAGTCTTCATTAATAATTAGTTTTAAAAATATACTAAAATGTATTTATATATTATTTAATTTTATGTATGTTTACCTACAACTCTAACCTTGCCCTTTTTTTTGTATTTTGGTATTGTTCATTTTTGTACTGGATATTATTGGAAATACTGGGGGGTGCTACATTTTCATTATTTTTGTTTGATAATAAGGTGTCAACAGTATCTCGTAGTTCGCGGTCTTGCAACCAGGGATGTAACAGAACTTGTTTTATTGTAATTCGCCTTTTCGGATTAACCGTCATCATCGACGAAATCTAAAAGATACTATTGTTAATAATTAAAGGCATTTATTATTGTATTATTTAATATAATAATATTCAACAAAATGTTATTATACCAAATTTATGGCTTTTTTTGTAATGAGTCCAAATTTTGAAGGAGGAAAGCTATAACATCCTTTCTTTATTTGTTCTTGCATACTATTTTTGTCATGGCAATTAAAGGGAACTGAACCACTTAAACAAACATACAATATTACTCCTAAACTCCACACATCAACCTAAATAGATTAAAAAATATAAAACATAGATTTTTATTATTTTTGGATACTTATTATATATGTAAACATACTTGATTTGTATAAGAACCACGTCCGATATTAAATAATATTTCAGGTGCAACATACATAGGGGTCCCACAAAAGGTTTTCATCATAGTCTGTGCATCAACTAATTTTGATAAACCAAAATCTGATACTTTTGCTAATGTAACATCTGAAGTACTAGCTAGTAATATGTTTTCTGGCTATT